AGGACACAGATTGCCAGCAGCCCCTTGCTCCAAGCCTGTCCTTGTGCTTCCCTGCAGGTTTGCATACAAAGATGAGTACGAGAAGTTCAAGCTCTACCTCACCATCATCCTCCTCATTGTCTCCTTCTCCTGTCGGTTCCTCCTCAACTCCAGGTGAGTCTGGCTTGGTGCTGGGCAGAGATCTCCTGCCAGAGCCCCCCTTCCCTTCTCTCCCATCCTGGAATATCCAGAGCTGAACAGGAGATCCTGGTAAAGCATCTGGACACTGCCCTGGAGATGGGGTGGCTGCCGTGGCCATGGTGGGCGGTGGAGAGCAGGTCCCTTCCTTGGGGGTGGGCATCCCACGGGCTGTCACCGTGCCTGTGCCCCCAGCACGTGCCTTGACACCCTGCTCTGTGTGACCCAGGGTGACAGACGCCGTCTTTAACTTCCTCCTGGTGTGGTACTACTGCACCCTCACCATCCGCGAGAGCATCTTGATCAACAACGGCTCCAAGTGAGTGCCCTGGGCCCGGGGAGGGGCTGGGCCCTCTCTGCAGGGCCGGGGGAGCTGGGACCCGTCATGGGAGCAGCTCCCTCCTACTCAGGGTGTGTGCAAACCCTGCTGGGAGCAGCAGGAGCGGGGCAGGAGGAACCTCCCGTGCAGAGGCGGCACGGGAAGGTGGAGCTGGAAGGGCCCTGGTGCTGCCCAGCCCCGAGGCCCTGGGTCCTGCTCTGAGAGCATCTCCCAAGCAGCCCTGGGAGCTGTGGGGTGGCTGGGGCTGGGCTGCTCCACTCTCCAGGCTGCCTTTGGCTCTGGATTCACGCTCCAGACGTGACAGTGCTTCTCTGTGTCTGCCCTCCAGGATCAAAGGCTGGTGGGTTTTCCATCACTACATCTCCACCTTCCTCTCAGGTGTCATGCTGACGTGGTAAGTCTGTGTCCCCCGTCCCATGGCAGCTCTGGCCGAGGGCCCAGAGGGGCTGTGGGACACGCAGGACTGGCTGTCCCCTCCCAGCCCCACGTCCCCCAGCCAGCACCATCTCTCCACAGGCCAGATGGGCTCATGTACCAGATGTTCAGGAACCAGTTTCTCTCCTTCTCCATGTACCAGAGTAAGTGCTGCCACGTGTGCTGGGACAGGGAGGGACTGACCCCCGGGTGCTGGGAGTGCCTGCAGAGCTCTGCAGCACATGGAGACCTGGCTGCAGCCGCTCAGCTCTCAGCTCCCCTGGCAGTTCCCTTGGCCTCGTGGGATGATGCTGAGGCTGGAAGGGGATCCCTGGGCAGCTCCTGACAGCAGCCATGCTCTCCTTGCAGGCTTTGTGCAGTTCCTGCAGTATTACTACCAGAGTGGGTGCTTGTACCGGCTGCGAGCGCTGGGAGAGAGGCACAACATGGATCTGACTGTGGGTGAGTGGCACGTCCCCTTGCTGGTCTCAGGCTGGTGCTCAGCTCACTGGGAGCTGTGGGTTCTACTGAAGACATGGTGACACTTTGATTTGAGGGCACTTTTATCAGTGGCAGGAACAGTAAAAGCTACAAGTCAAACCAAAGCTCCCAGAGCAGCATCTCCTGTGGGGCAGCACCACCCCATAGGATGATTGTCCCCTTCCTCCTGCTCTGCTGGGACCACCAGCCCACAGCTGGCTCCCTCAGGATGTGAGGTGGCAGTGGATGTGGCTCTGGGCATCCCACATTTCCCCAGGAAGCTCCTTCAGACATGACACATCCCTCCAACACCCCAGGCACTGTGGCTGTCACCTCCCCAGCCCCTGTGACAGCGAGAGCAGGAGCTGAGGGCCAGCTGCACTGGAGCCCAGAGCCCTGTGCTGGATTAAGAGTCCCTGGCACTGTCCCCTCTCCCCTGCAAGTGCCCACAGTGAGGCTGGAATGGCAGGACCTCCTCAGCCAGGCATGGTGTGGGCACTGAGCCTCCCTGTCCCCCACGTCTGGAGGAGCTGGGCTCCATCCCCTCTCTCCATCCCCTCTCCACCAGCCCATGCCAGCTCCTCACAGAAACCTTCATCCTTTGCAGAGGGCTTCCAGTCCTGGATGTGGAGAGGCCTCACGTTCCTGCTTCCCTTCCTCTTCTTTGGGCAGGTGAGGCTGCCCCAGTCCTTGCAAGATGCCAGAGCCTGGGGTGGGAGTGGGATGTGCCACATTCCCAGCTGTGCTCGGTGGCCTGGACATGGCACAGACCCCACAGGCTGCCACAGCCATGTGATATGGGATGTCTGGGGCAGGGAAATGCTTCCAACAAGTGCTGAGCCTTTCTCTTCAAAGCAGCCACCACAACTGGGGAAGTGAGATGGGGAGGAGCTGGGGTGGTTCTGCTGGGTGCTGCAGGGAGAGCCCTTCCAAAGCCTTTCCAAGGCCCTTCTGAGCTCCTGCTCAAAGCCCTTCCAAGGCCCTCTGAGCTGCTGCTGACATGATTGAGTCCTTCCTCGGTCAGATAATTGAAGCTGATGGCCAAAGGCTGCTCTGAGGCTTCCTGAGGCCCTTGGGCTCTGAAACAAGGGGATGTCCCAGCTGGGGTCCTCAGGCCCTGAGCTGGATGAGTTTCACTGCCCCACACAAGGTCGGTGTGGGGTTTATACCCAGAGCTAGCAGCTGGGCAGGCACCAGCCTGGGCTGAGCCCCTGAAAGCAGCAGCTGCCCTGAATCTCCTCTGCCCCGCAGTTCTGGCAGCTCTACAACGCCATCACCCTGTTCCGCATGCTCCAGCACCCCGAGTGCAAGGAGTGGCAGGTAAGGAGCTCCTGGGAGTGCCCTGGGAGGGGATGGCCCAGGCAGGTCCCTCCTGCTGACTCCAGCCTCTCCTCCCACAGGTCCTCATGTGCGGCCTCCCCTTCTCCATCCTCTTCCTGGGCAACTTCTTCACCACCCTCCGTGTCGTCCACCAGAAGATTCAGAACAAGAACCAGGACACGAAGGAGAACTGAAGTGGGGCACTGTGGAAGCCTGGACTGTTTCTCCCCACTGGCTCCATCCCCTATATCCCCATCTCCTCAATTCCGTCCGGACTCTGGTGTCCCATCCCATTCCTTGGAGGCCGGGGTGTGGGACAGAGCTTGGGGCCTGCTCCTGGACAGTCCATGTGCTCACCACGGGGCTGGACCGTGCTGGAGTCACTCACCTGGAGTCAGGAGCTCCCTGCACCTCCTGCCCTGCCTGCCTCCCACATGCAAACGGCAGGATGCTTGGGACAGCCACTGCCCCGTTTCACTGGGATTTCTCTGGATGCTGGTGCTCCCCACCCCACCAGGACAGGGCAGCATGCAGGGACTGCCTCCCACGGCTCCAAGGCTCCTCCCTGGCCTTCAATCCACACGGAAAGGGCGGCTGGGGCTGGGAGGGTGGGAGCAGCAGGAGCCTGCCCCAGGCACAGCTGGGGCTGGCAGTTCCTGAGGCTGCAGATGTGACAATAAAGGGAAGGAGCTGCCCCGTGCCACCGGGACAGTCTGGGAACAGCTCCCACACTCCGCTCTGTGGCTTTGGTTCATCAGGAAGGGGGTCCTGACAAATCCTCCCTGAAAGGAGGGTGGAGGTGGGGGGCAATAGGACAATTGTCACAACAGGACAAGAACAAACAGCCTCAGGTTTCACCAGGGGAGCTTTAGATAGATATTAAGGAAAATGACTTCACAAAAAAGGGTTGTCCAGCCCTGACAGAGGCGGCCCAGGGTAGTTGTGGAGTCACCATCCCTGCAGGGATTTAAAAGCCATGTAGCTGTGGCAGCTGGGGACATGGTTGAGTGGTGGCTTTGGTAGTCATTGGACTCAATGATTTGGAGAGGTTTTCCAGCCTAAATGAGCCCATGATTTTATGAAAAGTCATCTCCCCGTGCCCCTCCATCAGCCTGAGCTGCAGGGGTTGCTCCTTCCCATGGCACCCCAGTCTGCACAGGCTGTGGCTACCCAAGGAGGCCAGCAGAACCTCAGTGGCCCTGGAGGTGGGGAAGAGATGCCCTGTACCAGCACTGGGAGCTCTGGAAGAACCAAAGAGCAGGTTGGGCACAGCTGCACCTCAGTCCAGAGCCCCCCACTGCCATCTCCCTCCCCTCCCACCGCCCCACACTCAGGGTAGGGGCTGTCCCCAGCTCAGCCTAAACCCAGAGCTGCCACCACATGCCCAGAGTTCCTCCTGGTTCTCATCCATTGCTCCTCCTGCCTCCTTCCCTCTGGCTGAGCAGAGAGAATGCAGGAAGCAAACTCCAGACACAGGATTTTTATTCCAAGGGCAAATGTATTTAAATAATTTACAATCATTGGACAGCCTGGAAGTCTGGGGTTTCTGTTGGTTGGTTGTTTTTTTTTGTTTTTTTTTCCATGCTTAGATCACAAAGATGTTCAAAATAAAAACCGTATTTAAAAAATGACCGTACATGGTGCGAGGGAGGGGCTGGGCTCAGGGGAAAGCCGGGCCCCGTGGGCTGAGACCCCGCCTCCCAAAGCGGGTGTATTCCCCAGGGAGAGGAGCTTCCCGCTGGTGCTGGAGCGAGGGCGGGCAGCAGGGATGGAGCAGGGTATGCTGCTGGGGCCATGGGACAGCTCTGTGCCCAGAGCCAGCTGCCAGCCCCACATCCCACAGCTGGGCAAACGGGGGTGGCAGGAGGGAGGCAAAGCCACAACCCCAGCCCCAGCACAGCCCCTCCACCCCTCTGCTGTCCCTGCAGGCCAGGGTGGGCTCCAGCCCCGGGGATAAGGCAACACCTCATGTCCAGGAAGGACTCCCTGGCAGTGTCTGTCCCTCCTGCCCCACAGTGGCTGCGTCCCTGATGTCCCTGGTGCCATGGGGTGCACCCTGAGGTGCCGGTGACACCGCAGTTCCTGGACAGCAGCCTGAGCTACCCCCCTGCCCCTCTCAACCCTTTCCACCCCCTGCATCCACAAACTGCCCCAAGGGGCTGCTGAGGCCCAGGAAGGGTTGGGAGTGACACCAGGGTAGCCGTGGGCTGGGGACAACACCGTCACCCACAGCAGCAGTGGGCGAGCAGGCACTTGCCAGCTCCCCTGGCCCACGCCTGGGGACCTGTTCTCTCCCTGGCCCCGCCAGCCCTGCTCTTAACTCCACACATCCAGGGAGTAGCGGCCCTTTGTCATCAGTTTCTTTACATAGTCCATGGCCTGGGGCTGGCTCATGTTGCCAAACTCGGACACGATCTCGTAGAAGGTGTTCTGCACGTCCCGGGCCATGTTCCGGGCATCGCTGTGAACGGGGAGCGTGAGTGAGACACCACGGCACAGCCAGAGCCCTGCCACCTCCCACTCTGGACACAGAGGGCTTGCTCACCCCAGCCCCCCTGCCCTCCTCTGCCCAGGACAGCATAGCCCTCCCAGGGCTTCTCATGCACAGCTGGGGAAACTGAGTCACACTCCTTTTCCTGAGAATTGCCCCAAATCCCCATCCTGTCCCCAGACCTACCCGCACACATAGATGTGAGCCATCCCCTCATTAATCAGCTTCCAGACGTTTTCCTTGTTCTTCTTCAGTAAGTGCTGGACATAAACCTGGCAGGAAACAAGGTGGGAGTGAGGAGAGAGGAGCTGAGCCCCCACACCACAGACATTTGAGAGGGAGGGAAGGCAAGGCTCTGCTCGTGGCTTGGGGAGACAGGGGACGTGCTGGATGCTCCTGCCTGCCATGGGGGTGATGGTGGGCAGCAAGAACAAGTGGCAGGAAGAACAGTGTGGTACCTTCTCAGCCTGGTCCCTGGAGAAGGCCACGTTGAGCTGGGTGAGGACTCCCTCCTTCTGGAAGCGGGCCAGCTCCTCCCGGTACAGGTAGTCCTCGTGCTCACGGCGGCAGCCATAGTAAAGCACTGTCTCACCCACCTCTTTGCCTGCAGGGTCACACAGCCCCCATCAGCTGGGCCCTGCCAGCCCCCAGCCCTGCTCCCTCCCACCCCTGTGCTCTCCTCTCCGCCACCCTGGGCTTGCAGAGCTGCACGGTGGTTTTGGTTACAAGGGGAAGCTCAGAACTGATTCCCAGTAGTGGCCACAAGCCTTAGAATCGAGTCTGAGTGACCTGTGGCTAATTGGAGGTGTGGTGGTGGCAGAAGTCAGAGAAGTGCCCCAGGTCTGTCCACCCCCAAACATCCTCTGCAGCCAAGAGAAGGACAAAGCATCCTTGTGTGGACAAAACCATTCAGCTCTGTTCACCCTGCCCCGGCACTCTTCTGCTTGTGGCTGGGCTCACCAGCAACAGCAGCAGCACAGCTGCACCCTGGAAGTGGCCCCACAGAGTCCTGCAGCAGCCCCAGCCCCGGGGGGAGCTCTGGGCACTCACCCTGCTGCTTCAGCCAGGCACGCTCCTGGATGAAGCCGATGAAGGGGGCGATGCCGGTGCCCGGCCCGATCATGATCACGGGCGTGCTGGGCTTGAAGGGCAGCCGGAACTGCGACTTCCGCACATACATGGGCACCAGGGAGCTGCTCCCGTTCTGCTCAGGCACCTTGCTCTTCAGCCAGTTGGTGGCCACCCCTTTGTTCAGGCGGCCCGTCTTGGTCTCGTACTCCACCGTCACGGCACAGATGTGGATGGAGTTGGGATGGACCTGCAGGGAAGAGATGCTGGAACCAGGCAGAGAAGGAGCTCCAGCAACCCCACACTGTGCTCAGGAATGGGGACAAGTTTAACCTCATGTTAACACCGGGACAGCTATTCCTCCCTGTGTACTCCTCATGGGGCTTCTGTCTTGTCCTCACCTCTTCATGAGACCACTGAGTTTCCCTGGAGGTTGCCAAGAGGGACTTTTGACCAGCCCCTAAAACACCACCTTGCCAGGCAAACAGGCAAAGAGGAGCAGGGCTCCAGAGACTGTTGGTACCAGGGCACAGCTGGCTGCAGCATGGGGACTCTCTACAGACTTTGTGGGAAGCTGGGATAACTCCATGCATGGAGATCACTAAATTTGCCCCTGTCATAGCAAACGTCACCAGGAGAAGGTGACATTTCATGTCCAGCTCCCAGCTGAGGGGAGCTGCAGCTGAAGAGGTCCCCCCACAGGCACATTCCCTGCTGGAAGCACACCCACCTTGGAGGAGGAGGCGATGGAGTAGTAGCGGGCCTGCAGGCGGGGCAGGAGCTCGCACAGGTGGTCGATGGGGGGGCGCAGGGAGGGCATGTCCTGCAGGATGGCCAGGATGTTCCTGCGGGCCTCCACCACCCAGCTGAGGTACAGCGCCTGCAGGCAAGGACAGCACAGCCATCACAACCTCCCCACAGGGCTGGCAAACACCCCCTCGGCTCTCTGGGTGCCTTTTGGGGATCCCCCAGGGCAGCTCAGCCCAGCTGGGAAGGGCAGTGCTCCCACCTTGCCCTCGGCAGCAGACGAGGCCATTTTGCGGAGGCGCTCCTGCTCGCCGGCGTCCGAGGCGTACTGGGCCAGCTCGTACAGGACGTTGGTGCGGGGAGGGTTGGTGATGTCCAGGTAGTAGGTCAGGGCTGTCCGGTACGACGTGGGGCAGGGGAAGGGATGCTTCTTGTTGGATTCCTCTGGAAGAAGCGGGAGAGAAAGAAAAATTAAAAAACATCCACCTCATGCTGTTATGTTAAGAGGTTTTGTGCCAGCTGCTACACACACAGGGCTGGAGACAGAGCAGAGTGGGCTTCAGGAAAGAGAGAGCAGCCTGTGGGTCAGGGCCCCAGCTCCAGACTGAATCACCTCCCTCCCCAGGCAGCTCCAGCTCCCAGTAGCCCATTTTGTGTTTCACAGATGTTGCCTGACAGTTTAGCAGCAATAAATACACCCTGTGTTCCCTGCCCCGAGATGTGCAGGCACAGTCCAGCAAACCCCCAGGCTAAGCAGGGGGCTGCCCTCTGTGGCTAATATGGCTTCTGGCACTTACATCTCCATCAGATCTGGCCTCAAAAATGTCCTTAGGCTCTGTCAGCCATGTACAGCTGTGACAGCAGTCAAGGCTGGAGCCATTCTGTTCAGCCTTGAGAGGTCCATAAGGGACAGGAATGACAACACAGGACACTGCACAGGAGGCCACAGGCTCCAGCCATGCCTTAAATCTACTTTGTCTCTAGAAACCAGGAGCTCTCTCAGGCTTCTGGGCCAGCACATCTGCTGCCTCAGGTCTGGCTGTGCTGCTCCAGGACTGTGATGGGCAGCAGCTGCCATCTCCCTCCTGCCAGAGGCTGGCTCTGCTGGGAATGACAGCCAGGAAGAGCTCCTTGGATCAGCACAAGTGCTCCCTGCTGGCTGTTCAGACCCCAAGCCTGTGCCTCCTCCCAGGACTGAACAGAACATCTCACACACTCAGGGCCCTGAGGAGCTCCAGGGCTGCTGAAAAATGCTCTGGTGGGCTGATTCTCCATAATTAGGAGTGTGCTGTTACATAATTTGTTGTTGAATGGGCTCACTAAGCACATGTCACAACTGACCCACTTCAGCTGATCTCAGCAAGCAGGCTCTGAGCCCCTGCTAAAACAGCACAACACTGAATGGGACTGTGGGACATCTGGAGGTGCCCCACAGGATCTGAGGGTGAAGGACAGAGGCCACAGCTGGAGAACTGGAGACCCTCAGGGGTCATCCCTACTCACCATCCAAGTTGTTTAGGGACATGACAGTGTCCAGGTCTGTGCCCAGAATCTCACCAATCTGGTTCACCAGGGAGGAGTCGTTGGCTGGGTACACGGCCACGTGGTCCCCAGACTCATACCTGGCACAGAGCAGGAGGAGAGCACATGGAACACCTGCACCACTTCTTGACCATCCCCAGCAGCTCAGCCAGAAGATAAAAGGGCTGGTGCAAGAGGCAGCAGGACACCAGTGAGGTCTGCACCATCAGGATCCACAGAGCCAGCAGTGACAGCAACAGTGACATTGTGGATGGAATATTTCCCCAGGGTTTTTACAAGACATCTCCCAGGTTAACAGCAGTTTTGCCAGAGTTCCAGCAAGGACAGGTCAGTTTCTCAACAGAACAGAGCAAAGCTCCTCAAAACCTCTGCAGTTGTTATGTTAAGTCACCTGGATTCATGACTTCCGAACAATTTAAGGAATTTAAGCCAGTGAGAGAGTTTTAAGAACAGGGCTTTATTCCCTCTATGCTCATACACCTAAACCAGGCAAACACAGGCAAGAGCAATCCCCAGCTGAGCTGCCCTCTCATTTATTGAGTTACTTCTAGAGAATTCCTGCAGCTGAAACTGCTCAGGTAGGACAGGGATGCAGGATGGGATGGACCCAAAGCAGTGCAAGAGCTGGGAGCAAGTCCTGACAGGGGTACCTGGTACAGAAGCCCAAAGGGGCAGTGCTAAGGAGCAAGGTCACCTTCTGCAGGGCTGGATGAGGCTGGTGCCACATCCTTGTGTTTGCTCCTGACAAAACAGAGGAGCAGTCTCCCCCAGGGAAGTACCTGATTTTGGAATTGGAGATATCCAGCTCCAGGTGCATCAAGTGTCGCTCTCCACCCTCGTTCAGCTTGCGGTTCTCTGTAACCTGAGCCAGGAAGGGGTTCTTGGCATCAAACGGGCTGCAAGGAAAGACAAAGGTGCTCTGGGGTTCCCTCCTGCAGGCTCATGGAGCTCCTTGTATCCAGGCATGCTCCCTCTGACTCCCATGATTTGGTTCTTGTTCCAAAGCACACTGCACCACAGCACAAACCAAATTATGCTCTGCTGCTCCCCACACTGGCACAGGAAACAAATCCTTTTCCTTCTCAGCACAGCCCAGCAGCAGTCAACAGCTTCTGTCCTATTAAGGACACGTGACAGAACTGAATTGGAGGCACTGTCACATCTCAAAGAAGTATTTCAGGCTGGAATTAATGTTTAAAGCTCATCTCCCCACAGCAATACTGCCAGCAGCCATCATGCATTGCCCACTGCAGGCAAGGAAAGGCTCAGGACAGATGCTGTGCATGTACCAGCCAAACAGCACACGTCACCACAACCATCTCCTCACTATGAATGATTCATTAACTGGAGAACCCCAGAGTCCCAGTGGAGAGCTGAGCCCATTTCTCTTGGGCAGAGACCTGCTGTGCTGCAGGAGTGGCACTGCCTGCACAGCAGGTGCTGCTAGGAACAGCAAGGAGCCACCAGCCCAGAGCTGCCCCAGGTACAGCCTGCCCAGGGGGTTTGGCACTCACGGCTTCTGGTTCTCGTAGCTCTTGAGTCTGCCCATCTCCCCCGTGTAGACTTTGTTCATGTTCACATCTGTGTGCACCACCAGCTCGTACTGCCGGATGCTGGGGGAAAAGGGGAGAGAAAAGAGAAAAAAGTCAAACTGGAACCCACAAGGTACAGCTGGAACCATCATCTCCCTCGCTGGATTTGCTGCAGCTCAAAACCAAATGCAAATTCCACCCCTTTGCCCATCTTGAGACATAAGGGAGCAGGAAGACTCTGCAGAAAGCCCAACACAAGGGGAATTTTCAGCCTCCCTGAAGCCTCACAACCAGCACAGTCATCCCCAGAGGAACCAAAGCCATCATCTCCCCACTCAGAACAGGAATCCAGAGCTGGGCCCAGACTCACACCAGGACAAGCTCAGGCCTCACTCACTGTTACACTTCACTCGTGCCCTCCTCGAACCTGGAAGGGGAGGCAGAGGAAAGGGAACAGCAGCCCAGGGCTGATGGCACAGCCACCAGCCAGAGGTGGCCAGTCTCTGACACCCAGGAGCAGCTGCTCCCAAACCCACCTGGACTCTTCTCCTGTAGCCTCCACCCCAAAGTGCTCACACACTGCTGGCCAGAACTGCTCTCTCCAGGTGATGAAATCTTCCTCCAGGCTAGTCAGGGCAGAAGAGAGAGTCAATAACCCAGACCCACTCCCAAAAAAGCTACCTGAGATCCCTATGCCCTCCTCCCATCACTGTGGGAAAAGGCATCTGCCTTAGCCCCAGGCACCCTTGGTACCTCCACATGCTCACAGATCACCAGGAAAGCACCTGCAGAGCACTGAGTGGGAACTCTTGCTACACCACGTCTGCCAAGGAAGGCTTTATTTAGGCTCAGTCTTTAAAAAGCTTAGCTCCTCATTGTCCACCCCTGGTATGAGGTGACCTTCCTAAAAGGTCATGATTCCACCATGACACTGCTTATTTTTCCAGGCTCAGAGCCTTCCACACACGGCATATTCCTCTCATAAGGCCCTGCAGACCCTTGAGGTAGAGCCATAGGTTCATGTAATATCCCAAGGTGCTCAGGGGAGCACAGAGAAGTTAAAAAAAAAAAAAAAAGAAAGAAAATATCATTGTGGGAGTTGGAAAATTGCTGCCTCCCACCATAAAACACCTCCCAAGGAGATTAACCTGCCTCCTTCACTGGGATGGGTGAGTTTACCCACACAGGCTGCAGCAGGGCAAAGGCAGAGGAGGCTGCAAAGCCTGCTCCAGTGGTACCCATGGACATTTAAAGCTGAGGAGGGATTTTCCAGACACAGAATCCCTTAGGACACTCCCTGTGCACAGGGAGCTGATTGTGGGAGACACAGCAGACACACACACTCACAACCATGTCAACCCCAACAAGGAGCCCTGTGGAGTTTATTTCTGTCTTGGTAGTGGAGCCAATTCCCTGCCAAGGTCCTTTGCAAGGTGCTTTCAGCCAGCTCTGACCAGCCCCTCAGCCCAAGGCACTCACTTGCCATCGTCATCTCCCAGCCCCAGCTCAAAGATGCGCTGCGCTCCAAGCTCCTCCAGTCTCTTGTCCACGTACTTCCCCATGGCATTGAAGTGCTCATAAGTTTTGTTCCCCAGCCCAAACACCTGGAAGGGAACACTCATGAGCATGGAGAAGCAGGAGATGCACTTCCCCCATCCATTTGACATCCTGTGGCCAGGTATCACCCCACAAAGGATGCAGAATAAAGACAGCGAGACCCCTCCCAGCTCCCCAGTACGAATCTACCAGCGTGTGGACAGGAGGCACCAGCACCTCCCCCGAGCCTGGATGCACTTCCAAGAACTCCTGCACATCTCCTCGTGGGACCAGTAAGAGCCTGGACTGCCTGAAGACCCATTGCTGGCCTTTGCCTCCCACAAATACACAGTAAATTCTTGCTCACTGCTTCACACAGAGTAGCCTCACATCTCCACCAGTGGATTTTACTCTCGTTTGCAATATTATGCTGCCTAAGGAATTTGACCAAGGTTTAGGGTGAGGTGGCTGTTTCCCAGCCAGTTATTCAGCTCAGCACAGGAAGAAAGTTACACACTCCTCCAAGTGATTTAATTTGTGGGTGAAAATCTGGCCCCAGGCTGCTCAATTAGCTTCTGAAGAGCAGCAGCAGACTGTAGCTCATTTACAGACTTGTATTCAGTGCCTGAAGGGCTGTTTGGGGCTGTTTATACCAGGAAACTCTCGTGATTTAGGGAGTGGAGAGTGAACTCTGGCATTTGCATTTAAAGCCTCCAGAAGTACATTTGCAGGTGTCCACAAAGCCCAGGCAGGAAGACAGCAGGGATCCCAGACAAGGTGTACAAGGCACAGACATCGTGTTGGGCCTTTCCCCAAGCCACTCTGGAGGGCTCTTGGCCTTCCTGCCCAAATGTAACACAAGAACTGGAATGGGGCCACTTACTGCAAACCGGAGACCCGAGAGGTCAGCATCAGCCTCCTGCAGCCAGTCGTAGAAATCCTGGGCATTATCTGTGGGATCCCCCTCTCCATAGGTGGCCATGCAGAACACTGCCAAGGACTTGTCAATCTCAGAGAGGCGACTCAGGTCCGACTGCAACCAGAGGAAAGAAGGAATCTTCAAGGATCCCACACTGTGGCTGTTGGGCAATTCCTGTTCCCACAGTGTAGGTGTGCAAACAGCACTATGCGTTTAGAGAAGGGGCTTGGGAAAAGCCAAACCCATCCAAAATGGCTGGGAAAATAAAGGCAAGCACCCTAACTGGACTGCAAGTCAGTATTTCTGCTCCACCAGAAAGAAAAGCAATGGGACTTTCCATTCAAGGCTTTAAGGCACCAGGAGAATGTAGCATGGCAAGGACAGAGCCCATACCCACAGCTCTCAGGCTGATCTTTTCTCCCCTAAATGACACAACTGTCCTTTGGCCAGGGTCACTGGATTTTTGTAGGGGGCACTGAAAGGTTGTTACTATCCCAAGGCTGCTCAGGGCTAAATTACCAGGTCATACTCCTCTGGATCTGCTGCCATGCCCCGGAGGCCATAGCGATGGGCATCTTTGGAGAGGCGATTGGCAAACTCCTCTGCTGTGCCCGTCTGGGAACCATAGAAAACCACTATATTTCGGCCCTGGAGAAGAAGAGAAATCCCTTTTAAATGGTGATTACTCATTTGGCAAATGCACAGATGAAGCACAAAGGAAATGCCTGAGATGAGGAATCCTGGACTGCAACCTAAAGGCAAGCAGGAGTGTGCGCTTGTGCAGGACTCCAAGAGTTTGGCAGAAAACGCAAGGCTGAGCTGTTAGTGAGAACATGACTCTTGCCACTCTCAGAGGGGAGATTCAGGTCAGACTAAAACCCAAAGCAAAGAATAAACCTTCCAGATTTATTCTCAACTTCGAGGCCGCAGTGTGACTCCAGGAAGCAGGGAACACCCTGGATGAGAATGCAGAACTTGCCAAAGGCTCTGGGCAAGTGCCTGAGCACCAGAGCTCCTGCTCTGCTGCAAGCCAGCCACTTTGAAGTAGAACAGAAAATGCATCCAGCCCTTGCTTCCTCTCGTGTCCAGACCAGCAGAGTCAAAAGCTGACAGTTCTGTGTACAATTCCCATTGCACAGCCAGCCAGTTTGGGAACCAACCACACAGATAAACAACTGCCAGCCAATGACTTCAAAGTCTCTGCCATTTCCCTTCTGACTTTGATCTCATATTACATGATTTTTTTTTCCACCACTGAATTTTCACTTTAATTTCTTCTCTAAGAACAAATCTCAGGCACAGACTAAAAGAGCTATTCCTGGCTGCTCACACAGCCTTCCTCTGGATGCTCTCTGCAGTAGCCATGTGTCTGTATCCAAACCAGCTCCTCCTGCTGACAGTTTCCAGAGGAAACTGGGATGGACATGAGCCCCCCCACCTTACCCAGCACCCCGTGGAGGCAGAGCAAGCAGCTTACCGTCTTCTTCATCTTCTCAATGAAGCTGCTGTCTCTCACTGGAGCTGCTCTGAAAGACAGGAGGAACCTCTTCTCAGATGAGCACGTTCATTTTTGAGGTCAGGAATACGTAAGTGGGGAAAAAGTGGCCTCCAGACCTCAGGAAAGCTGCCCAAAAGGGTGTGAATCTCCACTGACCACTGTTATTCACCTTGTCCCAGGAATGCCCATTGCTCAGCCACAGGACTTCTGCACACAACCATGGAGCAGGGACTTGGAGCACAGGGGAAAAGCTGAGCTCCTGCCTGACCCCTGTCAGTGAATCCTCCCCTGGGAAAAGCCCAGGCACACAGCTCTGCCCACCAGGAAACCTTTATCAACTGCTCTGAGAGGTTTCACAGTGGAGCAGGCTAAAGGATCTCACAAAAGCAGGTCTCCAGATAAGTCTCAGGGGCCAAGCCATGGTTTGAAAGAAGGAAATGGAAAACACCCTGCTTCCCACACCACCGTGGGCAAGCAGAACCAATCCTGAGCCATGCTCCCCAGGACACATCCCCCAAACCTGAAGTCAAGCAGGGCTAAAAATCAGCTGTTTCAGCCTCAAAAGAGCATGCCAGCCATGAGCCCCACAGCTGGAGAGCCCTGTGGAGCAGGCACATGCAGCTGATCAGACCCACAGAGCTCCCAGCAAAGTCACCATTGCCAGCCAACGTCCTGTGGAGCTCGTTCCATGCTGGTTTCCCATTCCTAGGATGAATCTCCTGCACAGAACATTTGCATTATTGTACAGACATGGTTTTCCCTAGCTTGGAAGGGGGAGAAACCCCAGCAGAGCCAGAAACATGGAGGTAGGGATTCACAGTGCTGCAGCTGCCCTGTTAGGGAGGAAGCCAGAAGAGCTTTGCTATCCTTAGCACATCTTTGGATTTTCAGTGTCATGGAATGAAAACAGCCCAGCCCTGGGGACTCTGGGAGCCTCACAAGCAGAGGTGACCATAGCTACAGTCAGATTAGGTGCTGGGAGCTTTTCAGAGCAGGCCAGGACAGAAGCTCCTTGCTGTCCTCCCCACTAAAACTTTGGTAGCAGGGAAGATGAACGTGGGACCCGTTCCCATTCCACAATGGAAGAATGCAAGGCCAGGTCTCCTGTGGGATGAGAGAAGCCTCCAGGCAAAAAAAAAAAAAAAAGGTTTTGGCTCCAGCCCATGTGAGAATGTGGGGAGCTAGCTAACAGTTTCCTCAACTCTGTAGCCCAGAGGAAGGGATCCTGCGGATGTGCTGAGGCATTTGCGGAGAGCACACACACCAGAGCAGCAGGGTGGGGGACGTTCATGAAACATCCCCACGCACTCCTTGCTACCCCAAGGGAGCAAGGATCTCCATAACTGGGCCTGACAGCTCTGAGCACCAACAGTCTCATACAAAAGACAAAGTACACACAAAGGACAAACAAAGCCGACCCCAAAAAGCTCCCCAAGGCAGCCGTGCTCCCAGGAGATGCTTCACACCCCTGCTGACTCTCTCAGCAGTTAACAGGCTCCCCATGCTGTCATTTGTCCCCTGTTAGAAACTGGGATATCACAAATATCTTAAGGGAGCAGCCCCAGCCCTGCCCACGCTGCAGCCAGGACAGGGGCTCGGGAGAGCTCTCAAGACACAGCTCTCTCAGTTTTTGTCTCCTTGGTGAACTTCTTTAATTCCTGCCCTCTGCAAACAAGATTCAATTAAAACAACTGTTGGTTTAGCTACTAAACAAAATGCTTTTAAAGGAGGAGAAAAAACAAAGTTTTTAGATCCTTTCAACAAGCTCCCTTTGGAAGAGAAAAGGGAGCAGCACATGCAGCTCGGCTTTTTTCAAAGGAGGCAACCCTGCACTGAAGTGAGTGCTGGAGAACAGGCTGTGGCTCAGATACAGAAGAAGTAATGAGCCTGGCTTTGGAAAAAAGGCTACACAAATCCCTGAAATTGCTTCATCAGGGTGGCCTGAAAATCTGAGCAACGAAAACACACAGGCACCAAAGGCAGAAACTACACATATTTTCACTGCTCTGCCAGGGAAACTTGGAAAAGAAAGTTCATCCTCAGCAAGGACTGCTCTTACAGCTTAGACAGCCCAGGGTAGCAGCTACAAGCACTAGAAAAAGCACTGGGTGGAGGCAAGGGGATTAACCCCATTGTCAGAGAGACTGTAACTTGTACAGCTCTCCCACCCTTGGAGAGAGCCCACAGCACAAACTACTCCAAGGGCTCTCTGTCACTTTGGTTTCAGGAGAAAGAAAGGACAGGGGAGGAAGTTTCCAAGAGCTCAGCAAGAATACCAAAGTCTGTCTCAGATGAACACCTCTCCTTCAGAAAGTTCCTGCTCCCATGGCTTTCCTGCTGAAAGCACAGATACATCCAGAAGTGAGGATGCAGCCTGGATGCTGCACAGAAACCGAACACCGACAGCAGGGTCTCCTCTGGAGCAGCCTGCTTCTGAGCAGAGCCTCTCCCCTTCCTTCTCCTCCTGTTGCAGAGGGGGGAGGCACCCACTCCAGCCAGCTTTGGAGCTGGAAGGATCCCAGCAGCCCGTCGGGCAGAGTAACTCACCTGGCCGTGGCCGGCTCTTCCCGCGGGGCCGAGTACACACAGCCCATGGCAGGGCAGGGAGGAGGCAGACAAAGAGTCCAGGGAGCTGTGTCTGCAAAGGGAGCTGTGAGGGGACGGATCTAACTTAGCTCTGGAGCCACACGCACACAGGCCTTTCCATTCTGCTCCTCCCGGGCGTTAAAACCAAGCATCAGCCTTTTGTTGAGGAGAAGAGAGCCGGCACAAAAGGTCCCGGCACGGGTCATAGCAGGAGTGATCCCGTCCACTCCGATCCTCGTGGTGGGGCTTTGGAAGTTCTTTGGAAGTTACTGAGTGGATCTGCGCAGTCCTGAGAAACTGCAACATCTGGCAGCAGTGGCAGAAAGGAATTAGGAGTGGAGAATGAAACCTCCCAGGATCCTCCGCAGCACACGTCCCTCTCCCATCGGCACAGAGCAGGGGACGGGACACAAAACCCTCCCCCAGCCTTGTTCCCTTGGAAACTGTTTATATCACAGCTGCTTTTATATATTCTTCTATACAAAAAAAAAAAAATTAAAAAGGAAAAAAAAAAGCTTGATGCTGTAGCTGAATGAAATTATTCCAGACACTGTTGAGCAATGCTTTGGGTAACTATGGCAGTGCCATTACGGAGGCAGCTCAAAGGAGTTTGTTTTCCTCAGGATCCTATTAAGTTAAATTAGAGATGGTCTCTCTCACACACACAGGCAGCAGAGAGCTAATCAGGCTAAGGACTTGGAGCAATTCCTGCCACAGGAAGCTCTACAAGTACCAGGGAATGGATTTCTGCATAGCTGCAGAATAGAGATAAGCCAGTTTCTGTCCAAACAATACTAAAGAGGGGGGGAGAAGGGAGAGGGTGACACTCAGCAGGCTGTCGCACCTACATCTCCCCAGGATGACTGTCTGCAGAGTGAGGACAGGAGAAGGGAAAGAAAAACTGTGATTGAGAAACTTGCAGAGGAGGAGCAGCCAAAGAGCAAAAATAAATTCCTGCATTTCCCAGCAATGGCCTTGCAAGGAAGCGTGGTGGCCGTGGCTGCCGGTGCTCCAGAGCTGCTCTCCCTAACAACATCTGCAGAGCAGGCTGCAGGGAGGGCTGCTCTGGTGGTTTTAATTAAGTCTGAAAATGGTCAAAACACAAGCAGTGCTCAGTCAGTGGGATCCCAGCCTGGCCCACACACACTCGTGTTACACGTCACAGGTACGGGACACCTCGTACACAGGAAACACTGCATGTTCTGAGTTCTGTCCCTTCTGTGGGCACTTCAGGCAGGAAAACAGCTCCACTTGGCTTAAGGGTGAAGATCAGCAGCCTGCTCCCTCTCTGAGCTGTGGCTGAACCTGGAGATGCATTGCTGGAGCAAGATCATGATGATTTCCAGGCCATGCAGAGAGAGCCCAGCCCAGCTGCCACCCAGAACAGGGCATCTTAACCTCACATCTGCTCTTCCACAATCAAGGGCAGTAACAACAGTGGCATTTCCTTTGCAGATCCTGCTGAACTGACACAGTTTTATGAAGGTGTGCTGCTCCCAAAACCCCAGAAGGGCACTGAGGTGCTGGATGCTGTGTTTAGGTCAGAGACTGCTTGCACTCTTCAGCATTGCAAACAAATTGCTAAAGCAGCAGCCCTTGTGATGTGTCTGAATTGTTATTCAGCACCTTCATCCTCCAGTGTGCTGAGGTTGAGGGGCCAAAGTGAACAACAGAAACCATCATCCAATGCCATCAGATAAAGCAGTTCAGGACACTTTGGCAGAGCTGCAGAGAACGAGATGAACAAATGCAACCCTTCTAAAGGTCAAGGCTCTTTACTCCAGCCAGAGACAGCCCCACTGAGGCCTCTCTGCCTTCATGGGTCTGGGACAGCTTCCCTGACCCCCATATCCAGCCAGCAACAGGCAGAGGCTGACAGTGGGATCCTGCTTTGCTTGTTCATCAGAAAGGAAACTCCACCTCAGATTCAAGGATTACAGGAGGGAAGGAAACCCAAGGCTGACCAAATTTGTTTTCCCACTCATTTTCCTCCCAGTTCTAGGCATCCCATAAAACCCCACTGCAAAAGCTGCAAGAAGTCACTGTCTCTGTCCTGAAGGATTGATGAGCCACCCACCACAGCCTTGGCTTTTAGGGTCACACTGCCCTTGGACCAGCTGGATACAATGACCACAGCAGGGCTGCAGCAGGGTACATGGAAAAACCACTGCACAGCCTCCTCTCACTCTGCACCTGCCTGGCTGACAGTTTTCCAAAGTGCAGTTCTGTCAGACAACTTACTGAACCACCTCACCTCTCTGGTTATCAGCAACAAGAAGGGCCGCCGGTCCAAAACCCCCAAAAAGAACAGTTGCTCCCTCACTCCTCACAGGGACAGAGAAGGCAGCACAGACCCCACAGAGGAAACAAAGTGCCCGTGAGGCAGCTCAGAGCCAGGACCTGCAGCCAGGCTGTAGGTGGAATCAGAAGTGCTAAGGCCCTGCAGCAGAACAAGGTGGTAACACACAACCAGAAGTCAAAGCTTCTCTGCAAGGTCACCACAGCCTCTGGAAGAACTGCATATGATGGGCTGTAGGTGGAATCGGTCACAAGGACGGGGAGCACGGGACCCCAGGCTGTGCCATGGCAGGATCCAATTTCAAAAAGATAGTGCCCTTTCCCCAGGCAGCTCAGCTCTCACTGCAGCACAGCCATTCTTACAATCTCCAGGGGCAACCACGTGCACTGACACACAGGCCTGGCTGGCAGGCATGGGAGGGAAAGCATCCCAGCAATCCAACAGAACACATTCCCAAGGTAAGGCTGTGCTGGCACAGGCAGCTGGGCTGCTGCCAGCCATGTGTGCACCCATCTGCACAAGGTAGCACAGCCAGGGACACTGCTGCCCTTTAAAACCCTCCCAGCCAGAAAATGTACTTTCCAACCTCCTGCAATGCCAGAAACAAAGAACGAGCTAAAAGGTCCAGCAGAAAACTGATGTAAAGTTTGGAATGTGACTGAGACAAGGAACAAAATGCACCCAGATCCCCATCTGTGTGGCTCGTTCCTAGCCCCAAGCCCTTTGTAGAAGATGGGGTGGAACAAAGCCCTCCCTCTCCAAATCCAGTCTCCCACTCCAGTGGTAACCTGGTATCAAAAGTCAATCAAGTTTTACAGGAGCTGCCAAGCAGCTCATCCCAGGAACTATCTCCCAGCTCCCCAAGACTATTCCTTTCCTTCATAGCCAAGGGTAGATAAAATCTCCAACAGGAAATCTGTTTAAGAGCAAGCAACCTGTCTCCAGATTTACCTAAATGTGACTTTTATCAGAAAACACCAATAATTAAATCCTTAAGAGTTTTGAAGTACAACCAGAGGTTTTTTTGCCTTGCTCGGGAAAGACCAATTCCCAATTTGGGCCACACGGTGGGGTAAGGCAGAACTGCAGCCTGGCTCTTCCACCGGGATTTCTGCATCGTGAGCAGAACCCACAGCAGCTGAGGGCAGAGAAACGCCCCCTCACCGACCTCCCACAATCCAGCTGAGCCTCCCAGAACCCACCACAAGCAAGAGAGAAAAGCTCCCCTGGAGCCACACGGCCTGAGAGTTGTTACTTACACTGACTGCATTTTGGGGAGGTCAGGCACTTCCTCCTTTTTCTTGCGGAAGAAGAACCAGTAGGTAAAAAGTCCAGTGATGAGGGAGATGAGGAACACGTCCATCATGCTGAAGAGAGAGTCCTGCTGTGCAGTGCTGTCAGCAGCTGGCATGGTTGGGTCCATGCTGGGCTCCCCCATGGCAGGCAGAGGCACTGTGAGAAAGAAAAAACAGTGAGCACCAGCAGCCACATGGGACAGCATTAAAGGACACCCAGAAAATGAGTTTTGCTTTACACTTAGTCTTAGGAGCACAAGGGTACCCAACAACTCTCTGGACAGACGCCTTTGCATCTGCAAGGTTCTTCTGTGTCCCACCAAGCTTTTCCCTTCCTGTTGTACCCATGCTGATCCAGCTGAAGTATTTCTGCTTTCCCTCTGCCAGCAGCAGCAGAACAGCCCCACACTCCAGCCAAGGAGCCAAACCAGGCTCCTACTGACACCCCAACAACACTCAACAGGGACTCACCCTTTACTAAAGCCCTTACCCACCACCAACCCCTGGGGATTTACTGAGGGATGACCCCACTCTTCAGTCACCCCACAGACCTGGGGATTCCTCCCTCCTTCCCACAAGGTGACAGGATGCCTTGGCCTCACTGCTGTGCTGATCAACCACAGAGCAGGACTGTGACACCAACCCCCCACGAGCATCCCCACAACAGGCTGTAACAACACAAATGATGAATACTTCTGATTTACTCCACTGCAGCCTGGATTTACTTCCATCTCTCCTTGGGCCTTTGGCTTCCTAGTCTCCTCTGTGATCTCCCCCAGTTTAACTTCTATCTCCTTGAATTGCTCCTTTACACTTACCAAGACAAAGTTTAAGTGATCTGGGACTTGCCCACAGCCATACCCAGAGTCTGTGGCAGCACGAGGATGAACATCCAGCCCTCAAATACCCAAGCAGTCCTATGGCCCCTGTCCTTCCCCTGGGGAGCCACCCAACCCACTGCTGTGCCAAAGCTCTGAACTCCTCTGACCCTAATCCAGATGGCAAGATTATCTTCCCTACATGCAAGGACACACTCTGTCCAAATAAACAGATAATTAACTCTAAACTTGATTTGGAAGGGCAAAGTGACTCTCTCTTTGTACTTGGGCATCCTGCCAAGCCAGGAGACCATGGACATTTGAACTTGCAGCCAGAAAAGTGACTCAGAGCTGTGGTGGTGTCACAGAGGGACAGGATATGTGCCATGGCTGAGAAGTAAAAGTGACTGAAGTTGAAGGTTATACTAATACATTCAGGGGCTGTGAAGAAAAGGGAAGGTGATGCTTAGGGAGCACTAATGAGGGAGACCAGGTACAACTTTCAGCAAAGATTAACCCCTTGTTGTCACCCCCACAAGGGAAGACCAGCTCCAGACAACACACAGCCCTGTGACACAGGGCACCAGCCATAGAAAGCACCCTGTGGAGCACAGGGAGAAGTCCAGAGTCACCTGGCAGTGACCCTGGGTGGGTACTCTGGCAGCCCAATTAATGCTCAACCCCACAAGAAGTTTCATTCGGTGGAGAACTTGGCTAATAACTGCATTACAAAGAGCACTAAAACACCACTACAAAGTTTCCCATTAGGTTCCCACAGAAGACACTAAAGCAGGGTGCTGGAAGAAAAATAAGAGTGATGTGACTGCAGACAAGCAAATTGCACATTCCTCTCCATCAGGCAGGTCACCCTGGCCTCCCTCCTTGCAAAAAGGCTGTCCATCTCTGGATCTTGGAGCCAAGCAAGAGCTGGATGTTCCTTCTGTACAACTGTAGACTAAACTGTTAGTTAAAGCCTCCACAACTGGGGCTTAGCTGCCAAAAAGGCACAGCTCCCAGGAGGGTCCCTCTCCTCCTCCTTATCTGGTTCCAGTAAATCACCAATGAGCTGGTCTGACAACCAGCTCCAGGGGAATATGTCGGTGGGGGAAGAATGTGGCTGATTTATTGCTTTTATTCCTGATGAAAGCTCAGAAATTTTAATTACGAGCTCTTCTCTTACCCTCTGCCACCCGACCTGTAGGAATTTCAGCCAATCTCAGCCAAAACCTGCCAGTCAACCCTTTATTTCACAGAGTTTTGGGGTTTTGGTTCTTGCCATTTCACTCATCACTTGAGCTCCTCATTACATCTCAGGGCAAAGAAGCCCTGAGGGCCACTGGTCCACGATTCCCAGGGAGCCTCAACTGCTGCCTGTGCACAGCACAACCCAGTTCTGCAAAGAGAGGGAGGAATCAGTGCCCAGACACAGGCAGGAGTAAATATCTCCAACTCTGCAAGGTGGCTTGTTTTTTTCAGCAGCAGTTTCATTGCCCCAATTACACAAAGGTGGACAATTCCCCTCAGGGAATTGCCTCAATTCCCCTCAGGGCAGTGATGGCCATGTCAGTAACATTACCCTCAAAACACCCTGTCTTTCACTCACTTTCCCTGAAAATCCCAAGGCACATAAGGCAATGACAAACCTTTGCTCAGAGGAAGCCATGAATAAACACAAGGCTGATGAAGACCATGCTGAGCTGGTTTGGGGCAGGAGCTGCAGCTCTTTCCCTTCTGAGCACCAAACCCAGCAGCAGCTGAGCCCTGGGAAAGGCTCCTTGCACAGGGCACAGCAGCCTCCCTTGTCACCAGCTGAACGTGGAGGAGCTCCAAACCAGACCTGTTCGTGGTGAGCAGCACCTGGCCCACAGCAACTCCCAGCTCCAGACTGCTCAGACATGGATATTGCCCTGTGTGGGCAAAGAATGAGGGCAAGAATGAGCCTGTGCCCTCCTCAGCCAGGTGAGGGCTTTGTCTCCAGCAAAATTCACCACTGTGCTCAAAGCAGCAGAGCTTCAGCTCCCAGAGCAGCAGGGTTTGGCTTTCTCCAGCCTCCAGAGGAGGTCTCCTCTCCCAGGCAGGGCTGCCCTGGAGAGGCATCCTCAGGGAGGCAGCTCCCAGGAATGCTGCCTGGGTGGATGTGGGGGTGGAAGCTGTGCTGTCTCCTTGCATTGATCACACTGCAGCTCTCCAGGGCTTCAAAGGGGAGCCCTGCAGCTGCAGCCAGGCCACCCACTCGCTGCCCACAGCCAGGGAAGGGAACATTCCAGGAGGTTCATGGCTCTGGTGCATGGAGCACAGCCCGGTGTGCTCTCCTCTCTTCATTCACAATCTCCACAGCACAGAGTTTCCACACTGACCACTAGCTGGGAGGAAACTTGATCATGGCCTAGTGACAAGAGCTGCTTTAATTTTGATGCTGGGCTCCCTCTGGTCCTGGACATTTGGTTATTCAAGGCTTATATCTCAGCTACAGATTCTTCTTTTCGCTTTCCCTTCACCATCCCTACCCTCAGGAAATGGTTTGCTTAGACATAGCAAGAAAAAGGCAAAGAATGTGAAATTAGGCCTCATTTCTCTTTTTTAAAGGGTTGTCTTAACTCAGGAACTATTGAACTCACCTCACCCAGCACAGGATGATTATTGCTCAGTTTATCTCAGACTAGCTGGCTGTAACAATTATTTTCCAGAAGTTCACAGCAAATTTGTCATTTTCAAAAGACATTTTCATGTCATTTTCAAATACATGTCCTTTACTAACTTCCAGTGAAAAGAAACCTGACTCTTACTTGAAATTTAGCTATGCTGGGAATCCTGCAGTCTCTGGAAGGGCCTTGGTAGAATCAAACTAGGTTTTTAAAAGGAAAAGGAAATATATGATGCAGAAGTAAAACCTTCCCTGACAACAGTTTCAAGAGTGGTTATTTTATCCACAGTTTTTATTGTATCTTCAGTCAAGGTAAGACAAGATGTCCATATCCCTGGGGCTTTTTTTAATGGTGGCTCCAGTTCCTGGATCCCTGTTTGTGCACACAGCAAAGCCATCAGTCTCAGCAAGATGTGAGCATTTACATCACACAGAAAGTCACAATATTTTGAAAGATTGCAATCAAGCAATGCTGTGTTTTAGCACAGTTTTCAGCCACTGAATGTGAGAATTTGCTTGATACATGGCAGCTCACAATAATTCAAATCATCAGGGACCTTCCCTGCACATCTCCGTGCCAGCAAACAGATGTACCTCATCTTCATATGGAATTAAATGTATTCCTCATTCTTGTGCACACCTTGGAGAAAAAGAAAGGACTGGAAGCACTCTCAGTGCCAGGCATCCTCAAATTCCCCATAATTTCCAGACAGACTAAAGGGTCTATAACATCACATGGTTAAAAATACTTAAATATATATAGAAACAGCATTACAACAAACAAGACAGGAGTGATGAAAGCTAAGTGGTCAGCAACCTGAAGACATTTATTCTCCTTCCTTGCACTAGGAGATGGTGCATCAGGTGCCCCCAAAAGCACCCTGGGACACAGCACCACAATCACAAAGCGTGGCTGGGAGGTTTCCCCTTATGGAAGTCACACTGTGGTATCTCCCTGTGACCAAAAGCCAGGCTCCGAAGCTAAATTGGCAATGTGGGCAGGAAGATGTCTCTCTTGAGACTGAAGTAGCCTTTTTCTTAATGTAGTATCTGTGATGAGTTTCAAGTACCTCAGTTGGACTTCCCAGTCCCACACCAGGACTGCAGTCTGTGACTCTTGCCCCAGAAATGAATGACCAAGTTCTGTGCTTGACTCTGCCCCGTGCCACCATCAGCACACCCTGATGTGCAGCGTCAGCCTCGCCAAGAGGGGAAGGAGAAGGAAAACTGCTGAGCAAGCACAGCCTGGGGCTGCTCACTGCTCCCACCTCTGATAATCCATCCCCAGCAGCAGCTGGAGCACCAAGGAGCCCCTGATTCCAGCCCAACACGCCAGAGAAGGATCCCCACAATCCCCACACGCCCTGCAGACACTGCCTGCCCTGGCACAGCTGGCACAGGGACTGCACCCCCCAGATCTATCAAAACACCCGGAGTTTTCCCAAGCATCAGCACCCTTTGGACACCTGCAGATAAGCACAGGAGCTGCAGGTGGAACCTGTGTTCTGCAGCATGTGCAGAAAGAGAATCAGTGGTGATGGAGTCGAAGAGGAACTGCGTGACAGACGTGCAATGCCACCAGTCACTCTCTGCCCAACCCTGGCACCGGTGCCAGGCTCCATTCAAAGGGAGCTCAGCAGGGTGCAGGCAGAGGAGCCTTCCCAGCCCACAGCAAGGCCCAGGCTGTCTCAGCTGAGCAGCAGCACGGACAGCAGGCAGTGGCTTGCAGCCAAACCCTGCAGCAACGAGATCCCCTCGTTTCCCACAGCACCATCATGGTGCCAACTCGAGCTCTGGTGTACCCATTCCCTCTCCACCAGCCCACCCAACCCATCCAGCAACACTTATCAAAGGACTGCTTTACAAATTACCATGAAGTGGAGTCCATGCAAGTCTAACAGCAGATATAACACCAACACACACTCAAAAAGCTCCTTCAGACTGACCTTCTCCAGCTCAGACTCCCACTGAAAGCCCTGCACAGCCCCACAGGGCAGGGCACTGCTGGAAGGGAGAGCACTCGTGCTCCCTGCAGCCATGTGACAATGACCCTCATGTCCCTAACTCAGCACCACGTTAGGGAGCAGAGAGGAAGTGCAGCTGTCAGATTTCCAGCGTTGGGAGCTCTGCGTGGCTGGGGATGTCACCATTGCCACCAGATCTGCCAGACACCTCTTTCTGACCAGGAAGGACCATCCTAAATTCCCAAGGCAGAGGCAGGTGTGTGTGACCAGATTTCCCTTCCTATCTTGTCTGCCCCAGGGATTGCCATTCCTCTCTTGTTGACCATGGCACAACACAGCTTAAGGGCACAATCAGCCTTGAGAAGAAGACTTTAAAAAGCCCAGTTTAAAATCAGAGACCAATTTTTGCCACCAGCATCACGGCACAGCCCCAAAATTCAACCTCAGGACAGACACAGAAATGGTAAGCAACCAAACCAAGTGAAAACTCCAATTCTTTGTACAGCATGACCTGCAGCCTGAGCTTTAGATACAACAGCAAAACAGGAAGGCTGTAAATAGAAATTAAACAACTGAAACATCTGGGAGGAAAAAAAGAAAACCACTGGACAGGCCTCTCACAGGTCTGCAAAGTTTGTGGAGAGCTCACAGAGATTGCAGCACCAAAAGGAAGCTGCACTGAGACCCCATCACTCCTCCCAGCAGCAGCAGTGCAGCAGAAGGAAGAGACTTGCCCACAAACAGGAATGCAGTCTTGTGACCAGCCAAGGGCTTTCTTCTTTCACCCACTAAGGACATCAGGCAGGTTACTGATGGTTACAGGCAGGACGAGGAGCCCCACAGACACAATCCCAAGAGGAAGGAGGAGAGGCAGCAGCAACAGCAGGGCTGTGGTGGAGGTGGCATTCCTGCCCAGACTGTGTCTGATCTCCTCTGAACCCCACTGCAGCCAAGACTTCCTGCATGTTAGTCTGTAATACTGGGCAAGGGGACCCTCAGGAAAACCAGAGCTTCTCTTATTCCTCTCAGAAATGCAACAAATTAGACTAAGAAATTCTGTTTGCATCAGCCTGTGCCAGCCTCAAATGAGCTCTTTAGCTCTTTTTACTTTCCCTTTTAGTAAAAGGAGACCTGGCAGGAAAGGTTGGCCTTTCCAAAACAAAAGCAGGTGCTCAGATCCAGGTTATTTAACAATTGCCTTGGATCAGTCTTTTCTCCACAGCTCTGCCACACAGAGATTGCATTTCCCATCAACAAGAGGATGCTGATCTGGCCAGAAAAGAGGCCCTATTTGGCCTGGTCTCCATGTTTTGGGTGGGAATCATCACACAGACGAGTCCCTGGGCTCATGGGGAAGGAGTGCAGAGTGAGAAACCTCACAGCTTTCTTTGCCCCTTCAGCCTCTGTTGGAAAGGATTGCTACACCTACAGGTCCCCTATACTTTCTTCCCACATATTTCCCACAGCTTCCCATTAACCAGCTCAATAAAGAAGGGTAGAAAGTAGCAAAGCCTCACACCAAACCAGGGAAATGCTTCTGCACTCTTCCAGCTCAGAAACCCCAATCCCAACTGAGGAGCTGGCTGCAGCAGCACCTCAAGCAGGGAAGGGAACACAAAAACTGCTGGGATTTTTTGTGAAACAAAAGCTACTCTCACTGTAAAAGGTGTCTTCTACCCAGAGCCTGACACACTGACATCAGCAAAACTACTATTTTAGGCACAGGACAGACACAGAGCCTGCATCAGTCAGTCTGGATCTTGAAATACTGCATATTTGAGCTTCCACTGTGTCACACTTGCATGTTTTCTGGCCCCTGGGTCTTATTCAAGGACAGCAGAGCAGCTGCAAAAGCAAGGAAGAGAACAAGAACTCTTTTACTGAGGCAGAAAGGAAATCTATGCTATAGGTATGCTCAGGTAGGGCTGTGCAGTGAGCCCAGGGCACTGAACCAAAGGATTTAAGGTATTATCCAACACAAAAATGAATTCAAACTTGCCAAGCTGCCTTAAAGCAAGCTAGAATTACTAAACTTGCACATTTCCTTTTATGAGATAAAAGCCTGACTCTAAACCTTTAAATATGGGGATCTCCCCAGCTTAGGCACTAGAACACCTTCTTTTACACATTAATGTGAGCCAGCACAGAAAAGCAGGAGTTCAGGGTTACAGGATAAACAAAACTTGAGAATAGGCAGGTAACTGACCCTCTGTGAACCAACCCTGCTCTCCAGCCTCCCTCCCAGTGAGGGACAAATCCAGAGCACCACACCTCAGAAACTGCTTGAAAGAGGAACAGGGGTCTTGCCAACACCAATATTCAGGAGCAGGGACAAGCCTGCAGGAGTTCTAAACCACCCTACTGCCAACTCCACGGGCACCTCTCAGGCCAACAGCTGCTCAGAGGGCTGCAAAACCTCAGGAGCAACCCATCCAGGCATGGACTTTGCATGGTTCAGGTCCTGCTGAAGATGTTTTTCTAAGATCAAGAGGAAAAATGACGTTTGTTTCAGCAGCCTCTTCTGTGAGTGCTGTACCCTGTGGTGCCACAGCCAGAGCTGGAAGTTCTTCTGCCCACAGGCTGTTTGTTCACCCTGTGCCTGTGGCTTTGCCTTGTGCCACCACTGGGAAAGGAGCCCTATGGATGGGGTCAGTAGCCAGAGACTTTGACCTCTTCCACCAGGAAAAGTTTGAACAGCAAAACCCTCCAATGCTGGTCTCTTTTGAGAGGTTTCCTTTGAAACCAACAGCTGAAAGAGCACCAGAGGAACAGGATTAAACAGATCTTGAAAAGTTTTCAGAATTGTCAAGACTTTTGATCAGAACAGTGTGTTTTGGGGATTTATTTATTTCAAGAGAATCAAACACTGTCTGTAAGGAGCCAGGATATTCTGTATTTATAAGCCCAGTTTCCTCTGAGAATGGAAGAGCTTTTCAGACATTACAAGCCCATCTCCTGTGTTGCTGTAGGGTTTGGAGGTGTTACTGCATGATCCTTGCACCTCTTGGAAACTCACCACTAGAGCTGTCCTGCCCTGGCTGCCCTATCAGGGGGTGTGCAATCACCCCACACAACCTCCCTGCCTGCCATGGGTCAGCAATCTGACCTGGACTTCACCTTTTTGAAATGATTTGGGAAACACAGACCACTTCCCAGCCCAGCCCCTTGCAATCACACACCGCCACAGCAGACCTCAGAACATCAATTCCATACCCAAAACATGGCACAAGCCACAAGGTATCAGAGAACTCAGGTGTTACAGGCTGAAAGGCTGGTCCCAAGCTGCAAAAAACACAGCTCTCCAATGCCCCAGCAGAATCAACACAAAGAGAAGATACTTGACACAGGGGTTTTTTGTTCCATTGTAACAGGAGCTCCTCCTCTTACCTCCAGCAGTTATGCATTGAGTCCTGTTACACAACCAGGACTTGCACAATCCTTGCAGGCATTTTATCAACTCGCTCCTCCAAAGCTTGGAGTTAGAGAGAGATGCAGCAATGACCCACGAAAGAGAGTCAATTGATGTGTTTCACAACCACACAGCAAGATCCAGCACCACAAAAGTATCAACTCCCCAGGCTGCTAGTTAAACCTTCCCAGCAGACTTCCCGTGCACTGCCAGAGCCAGATTTTAAAAAGGAGAAAAATCCAACCCCATCTCTAACTCCAAACCTTGCTATCTCCTACTCCACACAGCAAGAAAGGAAGGTAAGTAAATCAACACCTCCATTCCTTGCAAAGGAGTGACTGGAGGCATGGACATGGCTGATTACTAAGCAAAAATACTACAATAATCTGCCACCATGAGTCAAACTCAGCCACTCTTTGGACTTGTGGCTCTCCAGAAGCCACCAGACATGGCTTCTGGTCTCTCTGTCTGGATTCCATGGGTGATAGCAGCCCACAATTAACCTGAAATGTTTACTCAGGGACAAACAGCAAGAGATTACAAGCAGCCTGCAATTATGAATTGTTCTGACCTATGAAATTTTCAAGCCTATAAAAAAGCACTCTTGGCAGAGATGCACCTGTCACTGCAGGGCTGGTGATTCACTCTCTACAACGGCGTGTACAAAGTAATCTCATCACTGGGATCAAATGATCACATTGGGAAAGCAAATTATGCAAGTTCTAAGAATTGTGTTTTTTGAGGCAGGAGAGTCGACATCAGGAAACAGAACAAAGTTCAATGCCCACAGAGGTACCTGCAAGTGGTTTTCTTTTATACCACGGGAGCAGATGGCAGGAGCACAAACCTGAGCAGGGAAGCCTTTTCCTCAGTCCTTCAGAACTGAGCAAACACAAAGTTTGCTGTATCCCAACAGGCAAAGGAGAGAGCAAAGACCAAATGGGATTTCAGTCAGACAGTTCCACACTTTGCTTTTGCTGCAGGTAAAGAAACCATCACTCCCACCCATTGCCAGCCACCCTCCCCAAACCCACCTGCACCCAGAGATGCTCCACAGCCTGTGACACTCAAAAGAAAGGGGTTACCTTGCACCTATGGGTCAGCAAACAGGAGTTGGTGGGGCCTGTGAGTTCCAGCACGGAGGGCGGTGAGCAGCAAAGTCTCCCTTGAGATAGTTCAAAGAGTTTTGGTTATAAGGCCCTGTTGACCTCCTCCAGCTGCTCTGCAAGAAACAAAAGGCAAGTTGCAGAAGGCACGTGGCTTTCCAGGAGACACAAACCCAGAAATTACTGACTGAACAGGAAGCAACTGTGAAGTGATGACAAGCAAGAGGTTCTTCTCTGTCACAATTAGAGCAGGACTAATTAACAGGGTGTTAAGCTGGATCTGTGACACTACACCCTCCTTTCTTTCACATTCAAAGATTAAAAGAAGGTGTTCAACTGGTGTTAGTTCCGGTAGCTCTGTATCCTCCCTGCTCCCTGTTCTGCAAATACCGTTGTCGTGCACCATCACATCCACGTGCAAAACTAAGACACACTCCATGCCATGCACACCCTGCCTCAGTGCTGTCAACCAGCCCAAGAAAAACCTGTACTGAGACAATGCTGGGTTTTCCAGGAAGGGTCTGGCTCAGCAGCCCTCCCAGACAAAGCACCGATTTCCTCATTTGCAGCAGATTAATCAGCGAGCTGCTTTGCTTATGTGCAACAGCTCCTCGGGATTTCTCAGAGAATTACAGAAATACTGGAAGAAAGCCCATTCCCTTCCATCTAAAAAAAGGGATGTGTACACCACTGCACCCCACTAAGCAAAAAAAATTACGAAACCCCACAGCTCCTCACAAGCCCACACAAAGTGTAGAGATCTGTTGTGAAGGGGATGTCCCCACCAACGCTATCTGTGATTCACTTCCACAACTCAGAAACAGAGACCTGATTCCTTCTTCCTTGCACTTTTCCAGCTTCTCAGCCGGATATATGTTCCTACTTTTTAAAAAGAGCTGTAAAAACACAAACCCATTTCACTTTTCCAGACTCACAGAGAGCCTCAGTGATCCCTTCTCTGTACACATTCCACTAAGCATTCCTATTTCCATTCACACTCCAAAAGCTAACCCTGAAGAACAAAGCACACTCCAAGCTGCACCAGCAGTGCTTACTCCTGCAACTAAGGCAACTCCCCAAGAACCAATTCCACTCTGATGACTAACTCCCAACACCATCATCCAGGTACCTTCACCCTCTCCACCCTCAATATTCCCAAAACCACTGGGTTCCCATTATTTCCTTTGACAAGCACACACTCTATAGGTGAATACTTTCATTCTTCCAACAAACTCCATCAGGAAAAATCAGGAGCAAACAGCCTTCCCACACCCCAGCAGTTTATAAAGTGAAATAGATGGAAAAACAGCGGAACACCCCAGCCTGCAGCAAAGGTATCAATTAAACGCTGGGAATAACGTTCTCCAGGGATGTGCCAGAAAATTAAGCTCGTTAAAGGCTTTTAACCAGCACCAGCCCGGGATGGGGTAAGTCTGAGCAGCCCTTCAGTGCTGTGGAAGCAAGGCAGGGTGGGCATCACCCCAGCCCCGGGGTGACAGGCGTGGTGGGGCACCCCAAATAACAGCGGGGCCATGCCTGCCCTACGGGGCACATCGCTCACACCAGGCTCCCCAGGAACAGGGGCTCAGCACCACCAGGTGCTCCCAAACAAGACAGGCTCTGGTCATCCCAATTCCTATCAGGGGATCAGTCACATCAGACTCCCCACATAAGAGAGCTCTGGCCATCCAGGTCCCCCCCAAATACCAGGGGACAGCCACAGCACCCTGCCCAGATAACGTGGCCGTCCCAGCCCTCCCATACCCCTCCAGTAAAAAGGTTCTATAAGCACCTCAATAACCCAGTAACAGGATGCCCACTCACACCAGACCCCGCAGTGAACGGGGGGCTCTGGGCATCCCAGTCCCCCCTCAAAGAGAGCTCCATTCACATCGCCCTCCCCGCCAGCGACAGCGGTGCCACTCACCCGCCACACGGGACCCTGTGTCAGTCCCGTAACACGCAGCCAGTCCCCCCACACAGCGAGAGCCGCCATCCCACACCGACCCCACCAGGGGTGCCGGACCGCCCCTCCCCAGCACAAAGGGCTCCGGCGGCGAGCTCAGCCCCCCGCCTCAGCCCCAGAGAACCCCCGGTCCCGCACCCTCCTCACCCCCAAGCGCCCGTTCCCCGCGTCCCGCACGCTCCGCCGCTCCGGCCCGTCTGCCGCTGGCGGCTCCCGCGGCCCCGGCGCGGCCGGCACGTACAGCGGGCCGCACCACCCGCGCACGCGCGCGGGGGAGCACGCTCCGCCCCCGCCGCCCGCCAATAGGCGGCGAGCGCGCCTGCCTGTGGAGATCACCCCTCTGCGGCGGCGCATGGTACAGCCCCAGGACGGGGGTCTTAAAGGGACAGGAGTGCCGGGAGGGACCGGGGGAAAGTGGGGGTCGGCCAGAATTGGGGCGTGGGGAGGTCACGGGTGGAGTCAGGGGTCGGTCAGAATTGGGGCGTGGGGAGGTCACGGGTGGGGTCAGGGGTCGGCCAGAATTGGGGCGTGGGGAGGTCACGGGTGGGGTCAGGGGTCAGCCAGAATTGGGGAGTGGGGAGATCATAGGTCGGCCAGAATTGGGGCGTGGGGGGGTCACGGGTGGGGTCAGGGTGCAGAAGAACAGGGTCCAGAGGTCACGGTGGGTGCAAGCAGGGGCTCAGCCTGGGGGCCAGGCTCAGGAGGGGAGGCAGGGTTGGATCAGCGTTGTGGTTCGGGGGTGGGCGTTGGGGTCCTGGCAGGGTCAGAGTTGGGGTGACAGTGGGAGCAGGGCTTGGGTCACTGTGGAGTCACGAACTGGGGTCAGGGTCCTGAGGTCACGCTTGGACACCACTCTGGGCTGAGCCAGCACCTGCAGACCCAGGACCCTGTCTGTCTGTGGCCACTCCTGGGTGCTGCTGTGGGACTCCCAGTGCCCCACAAGGTCACTGCCCAGACCAGGGCCCCGTGGGTGGTCAAGGGGACCCCGAGGTGCAGGCTGGCACCCAGTCACTGCCATCCTCCGTGGGAGCCAGGGAGCTGCTTCACCCAGGGAAGCACATGCTCCTGATTTAACCACAGCCCAGATGATTTGGATGTTTTGGGGTGGTCTTTCTCTCGCTGCCACACCAGGAAGTTGCTCAAGCAGCTCTGGAAGCATCCCCAGCAGTCCCAGTGGGACATTTCACAACCCAGACCTCCAGACCCCATGTCCCACAGGGACTGCTGCTCTCTTTCCTGTTGTTTTTTTTTTTGGAGGAGGAAGCTGGGTTACAACTCTGGTGTTTCCAGCTTGGCCAAAGCCAGAAGCACAGCTTGCCCTGACCCCACTGAGCAGCCCCATGGCTGTGTGGGGTCACCCCAGGCTGGGTCCTCTCCCTTTGCCTGCTGGGCACTGGCACATCCAAAGTCACCATCCTGACGCCATCGCTGTGTTGACGCTCGCTCCAGAGTCAATAAAACCCTTGGGGAAGGTCCAAAGTTCGAGCTGGGCCTGGCAGGCAGCTGAAGAGGTGTGAGGAGGGGGCACAGACCTGAAGAACACCAGCCCAGGGCTGCAGGGACGCCCTGTTTCCTGACAGCATTTCAGCAGAGGGTCAAGGGATGGGAGGTCACCTCAGTACTGGTGCCACCCACATCAGTTTTGGGATTGACCCCATGGAAGCTCCCTGGTGTGGCTGTTCTGTGACCATACCCCGTGGGGTGAATGGACATGGTTAAAGATCCCAGTGGCACTGAGGGGATGGCAGCACAGAGCAGGTCTGTGGCTGGGGTCAACCCATCAGGTGCCCAGACTGGCATTATGGCACAGCCTGTCCTATTCTGTCCCCTCAGGGAAGAAGCTGGGAGCTCATCACACCCAGCCCAAACCCCCCAGGGGCAAGCAGCAGAGTCCTGCAGCCTACAGAGACCTGGTTGGTCAGCACTTTGTACCGATTTCTCCCACCTCTCCAGCTCTCCTCTGTTCCCAGCACAGCTTGAGGCTGAACTTTTGCCCACAGAACCCTCAGAGTGCCAGAAAACAACAGGGGACACCATGGGACAGCCATGGAGGTGGTCTTTGGCAGTGTCCTGGCCCTGGCACAGGGAACCTGGCCCCCAGTCAGGATGTCTGCATGGGTGTGCTTGGCCAAAAGTTAATGACGGGCAAGCAAAGAAACACAGACCTGTTTTCCTTCCAGCGCCCATGTCCCCTGGCAGGCCTCCCCACTTTGTGGGTCCCCCCTCACCCCTGCATGGGGCAGCAGTGGAGGTCCAAGTCAGTTCTGCTTTCCTCGTGTATCCCTGACTCCTTTTCCCTTGCACCATGGTGGGAGCTGAAGAACAGAGGGGATGGATTTGGACTTCCAAAGAACCTTTTCCATGGCAGGAGCACTACTCCAAGGACTGGGAGCAGCTGGCTCTGCTCCCAGCACTGTCCCCAGACTGTCACTCTGCAGTGACCCTCTGAGGACATGGGGGCAACCCAAGGGGCTTTCTGGACTCTCTGCACACCCTGTGCACAGACACATTCTGGCATGGAATGCAGTGGCAGTTTTACTAGGAACGAGCCAGAGGCACAAAATAGCAAACCTCCAGGGACAGCACGTTCCCAGGGGCAGCCACCCCAAGGGCAGCCACCCCAGGCTGAACTGGNTAGGAACGAGCCAGAGGCACAAAATAGCAAACCTCCAGGGACAGCACGTTCCCAGGGGCAGCCACCCCAAGGGCAGCCACCCCAGGCTGAACTGGGAGATTATTGATTTCTTTTCTTTTCTTTTCTTTTTTTCCTGCTTTGGGAACTTCAATTCTCTGTCTCCCCACCAAGGAAATGAGCGGGTACTGCAATGTGTGATGAGTAACATTACTCTGAGCTTAGATAGGCAGATGCCAAAGCCCAGCAAGCTTATGACTTTTACCTCCTTCTCTTCCAAATTTAAATGCTCTTCTCAGCCTTACATGTCTCATCCCAACCTGTTTCCTCCCTCTCAGCAACTTCACTTCCCTGGGTGATGAGTTCTGAATTCACCCCCAGCCCTGGTGAACTGGGACTTGTTGGACTCCACTGTCCAAGAGCATTTTGCTGTGGAACAGATGCCCTCAGAAAAGCAGGGAACAGAAAAAAAAAATCTCCTCAAACATCAATCTGAAGGGCATTGAAAACAAATCCATCACATTGCACATGACCAGTAGGAGCAGCTGGGCTCAGAACACTCCTGGGGACATGGTGGAAGCTGTAAAAATCAGAGAGACCAAGTGATCTGCCACGGTCACCGAGAAGCTCCCAAAAGATCTGGGAGCAGAAAGAAAGAAACGCCAAACTGTGGTTTTGTGCTCAGAGCTCACCTGGAAGGCTGTGGTAATTATGTTGTCCCAGCATGGAAAGGACCTGTTCCTTCCCTCCTGGAGGGAGGTTTGCACCAGCTGGGAATGGGGCAGTTCCCACGGTGACTCTTACAGGGCCTCCTCTACTGCTGTAAAGCCAGGAAACTGCTCCCTGGAAACACGCATCCCTTTGACAGCTCTGCGGGGAGAGCGACTCTCACCCGATCGACTGGTAAGAGTTGGACACGCGAAAACAACCGGCTTCCAGCGTTTTCCAGCGTGCAGTACCGCTTGTCCCCAGTGCTCGTCCCCAGCCACCAGCCTGACATGCAACTGCGCCCATCCCGCCGGCAGCCCATCCCACTGATCCCAATCCCACAGAGATCCCATCCCACTGATCCCACCCCCAGAGATCCCATCCCCAGAGATCCCACTGATCCCATCCCCAGAGATCCCATCTCCCTGATCCCATCCCCAGAGATCCCATCCCACAGATCCCACCCCTCAAATCCTGCCCCACTGATCCCATCCCACTGATTCCATCCCACTGATCCCACCCCTCAAATCCTGCCCCACTGATCCCATCCCCCTGATCCTGCCCCAGAGATCCCATCCCCCTGATTCCCATCCCACAGATCCCACCCCACCCATCCCCCAGAGAGGCACGCTCCAGCTCCCCACTTATAAACCAACCCAGAGAAAAACCAGTCCTTCAGATTCTATTTCAAGTTCACAGTTTGGAGATACACAACATTTGTGATTGCTGTTGATCTTCATCACCCTTTTGGAAAAAATAAGTGGTAAAATTCCTAAGTTTACAGGCAAGGACTACACAAGGAGGAAAATCAAGGCACTAACAGGAACGGAGTGTCAACATTTCAATGTTCTCTCTGGCATTTCTTTCCTGGTATTAAAAACATGCTTTTAAATTCCAAACAAGCTCCTTATCCCGCTCTTGTTCCACACTAAAAGTATAACAATACAATTGCTGGCAGCAGGAAAAACAGGACCATGAAATCAAATCCATATGTGATCCCACAGAGGAGAGAAATAATCAGGTATGAAACAGAGTTGTCCCCCAACTCCAAGTTAGTTCCCAAGTTGCTGCATCCTCCTGCTGAAAGACCTGCCTGGGGTGCTCACCTTCACAAGAAGAGCTTCGTACTCATGTTTTACTTCTGTGAGGTGCAAGTTCTCAGCACTGACATTGGTCTCCTCCAAAAGAAAGCCCCTGTGTCCCACATGGGACCATGGCAGTCATTCCAGAGGGGCTGCTGGAGAAGTCAAGCAGCTGGATGACAACACAGGGTTTGTTCACAGCCTGATGGTGGAAAAATGAGAGGCAGGGATGTGGTTTGGAACGTGCAGCTGCCAGAGCTGCCTATGGCCAGGCTCACCGAGAGCAGGGAGGAGTCTTGAGGCTGTTGAGTTTCTGGGGATGGGTGAGGCACTGCAAGAACATCTCCAAGAGCAGGAATGGCACTTTGTACTTGATGGAGCACTTTTTTATGCAGCAAAGCAAGACTCCAAGTAGAGTCAAGAGCAATTGTTGAGATCTTGGCTGATTTACAGACACAGAGACAGCAGATTCCTCCTGGGCACTGTACAGTGGGCTACACAGCTGGGAATGAAGCTCAAATCCCAGCAACTGGACCAAACTCCTTCATTACAGCCTCAGGCACCAAACAGTGAATCCTATTGTAAATCCCTGGCTGAAAACTTCCCTCTCCCACACACCTGCCCACCAGCTCTGAAAAAAACAGAGAGATTGTGCTAATACTGGTGGGTGAGATCTCTAAAGCTGAGCAGTGTGAACACCCCCAACAGCACTGCCACATTCCACTTAATTCTTCTAACCCATTGTTAATGTCCCTTCCAGCGCCTTGGATTTATAAATATTTGCTCCACAAAGGGCCAAAATCCTTTATTGAAAAGTCTCTCACTACTT